GTTATTGTTTTTATCGTCCTATAGGCTCTGATTGAAAATTAATTTGAAGCTGAGATTTTTTATTTTTATTTTTTTTACAAAAATCGTTAGATTAGGATTACTCTAAAGCAAAATGAGGGAAAATCTGTGTCATTTACAGACATTCTGTTCACGTGAGCAGCTGTCAGTCAGCACCTGTCAACCTCCAGACGCACGACGGAGCGTGTCTGAACCAATCACTTTTGTTGGCATTGATTTTGATTTTGCTGGCTGAGACACCCATGTACTCTACTATGGAAACATCATCACCTCCACCTGCTGGCTGATGAGATGGGAGCTGATGCATTTCTGACCATAGCTATATTTAAAGGCTAGAAAAGTCGTAGCTGAGACTCCAGTGTCCTTACACGGCGGCCATCTTGGGAGGGGAGCTTGCCCACTCTTAATATGAATGTGTGTGGTGTATTTACTATTTAAATAACCATAACTTGGTCAGTTTTGATTAGATTTTCAAACTGTTTTTTTTTTGTTGTTTTTTTGCTGTAAAGGTGAGACATGTTGTTATAAAACTGCATACTTATAATGGACGTTCATAGTTATGTTATTTTGATAGGTAAAGTGATATCAATATATAAACAGAAAACATTTAGATTACTTTTACAAGAATTAACAAATAAAAATGTAAAACAAAATTATACACAAGTCAAAAATAGTACAAATAGTTCTAGCAGTGGTACTTAATATGAAATAACCCTGTTTTATAATTTTTCCCTACACATGCAAATATTAGCTTTTATATTTCCTTAACATAATAAATAGTGCCTTACACACACACACACACACGCACGCACGCACGCACGCACGTACGCACACACACACACACACCTATCTATCTATTTATCTATGTGTGTGTGTGTGAAAAGTGAAAACTTTAGGTTTATCAGTTGTCTGATCTGTTCTCTACAGTTTGTTTCAGCTCTCTGGTGATCCACTGACTGAGCATCAGAACCTCATGAACATTAAAGTCTCTGARTGAAGAGCTCATCAGGTTTTTAACATGGTTACTCTCTTCCTTGTAGGCTGCTGCACTTTAACTTGTGGAACACAACATGCAACACATCCTCTGGTAAGTCRTGTCCATTTGCATATTATATAAATAATGATGGTGGTGCCGCCAGGACCAAAAAATGCCCGGGCYGTTTTTTGGTCCCAGTCCAGCCCTGGTTGGTTGTTTTGAAGAGTTTCAGTGCTGAGTAGCAACCACTGTTCAAAAGAATGTCCCAACACAGACGAGCTACATCTAATGGCCAGAACTCTGCAGTTTTCACTCATTTACAGGCCAGCGGTCACTCTTTCAGAGATGAGGATGTTCTCATTCTTGMTAGAGASGAAHRDTKGTTTGAGASAGGRGWAAAAGAAGMCATTTTTGTRAAGAAAGACMRTCCRTCATTAAACAGAGGTGGAGGCCTCCGTTTTCAGTTGTCCCCCTCCTACAGCGCTGCTATTGCCAGTATCACTCCACCCCCTGTTAACATTAAGTGTTAATTAGGTGTCAACGATAGCCATGGGATGTGAGTATCAGTCACATGGAAGCAGTGCTTAAAGTCCTGAATTTTGCCTGAAACTCTCAGACTGAAGAAGTCTCTTGGAGGAGAGACGAAACGTTTCATTAGAGAAGAACCCGTCCAGAGGACCTATACAATTTTTTTCTTTTTGATTTTTTACCTGGATTACTGAGATGCATCAGGATATTGTCTGCTCATAACTTGAACTCGATTGTCTGTGCTTATTTTCTTTAAAGGTCTTAAGAAAATACCCAACAGTATGCCAGCTGGGTAGTTCCCTGATCAGTACTTTAGAGGAACTGTGTCCACCACTGCTTTCTGCAATAGTCAAATGTCATTTTCTCTCTTCTCTCTGAAATAAAAAGGTGTCCTACAACTTATGACTCACCCTGAACCTCTAATGATTACTTGAAAATTACGGTACTCTGAAATAATTTTTTGCAATTTGTTCAATACTTTGAGATATTTATTAACTAAACAAATGCACAGAAATGTAAAACATACAGTATTAAGCAGAAGTTTACATACACTAAAGACACGCATGTATTTTTAATTCACACCGACGTGAAATGAGGATAAACTTTTCCCATTTTAGGTCAGTCAGGATTACCAAAATGTTTTCTGTTTGCTAAATGCCATAATAATTGAGAGGTACATGTACTTTAAGGCAGACCTGAAGCACTGCTTCCTTGTGTAACATCATGGGAAAGTGGAAAGAAATCAGCCAACATATCAGGAAGAGAACTGTGGAGCTGCACARGTCTGGTTCATCCTTGGTGAAATTTCCAGATGCATGAAGGTGCCTCATTCATCTGTACAAACAATTATACACAAATGTAAACAAGATGTTACTGTCCRGCCATCAMACCGCTCAGGAAGGAGATGGRTTCTRTGTCCCAGAGATGAACTGTTTGTCCACAATGACCATCGTTACGTTTGGAGGAAAGCTTGCAGCCTGAGGACACCATCCTGACTGTGAAACACGGGGGTGGCAGCATTATGTTGTGGGGTTGTTTTGCTGCAGGAGGGACTGGTCTACTTCACAAAACAGATGGCATCATGAGGAAAGAACATTATGTGGAAATACTGAAGCAACATCTCAAGACGTCAGCCAGGAAGTTAAAGCTTGATATAGGACATTTACCAAAACTCTTCCTTCTGTTCTGACTGGCCCAGTTGAAATTCTACCAGAGAAATCCCASACGGAGCAGAGAAGGGTGATTAGAATTGTGCAGAAATGTGTTGGAAAGCAATGGCCAGGATATAATTGACGTAAAACAGGAAAAGTTTATTCTGATTTCATGTCAGTGTAWGCAAACTTCTGGTTTTCTGTATACCTGTCAGCTTTGAGGTGAAGAATAGAAAAACTGGTCATAAATTGATCAGACTCTGAGGGCCAACAAGTGAAAAATAAAAACTACTGTTAGATTGTCTGAAGTAATCTGAGATTATGTTAGAAACTGCTTTCATAAACGAATATTTCTTTTCCACTGAGTTTAAAGCTGGTTTGATACTTTATAATCTAGATGGTGAACAGTTGTGTGAGTGTGCACAAACTGACAATGGTTTGGTTCAATTGCAGATGGTTTAAATTTTTAGTCAAGATGCTGCACAAATGATTCAAACGTCACTCAAAGCCGAGGCTCAGAAAAGATATGACAACCAAAATTCAGAAATTAGGTTTGTGTTCTTCATCCTGTTAATCAAATCTGTAACTTTACATATTACATAATCTGATAATCGTCTGCTAAAAAAAATAAATAAATGAAAAATTCTTGGATTTTTTATTACTTCTTGGATGCAGAAGTTCTGAAAGTTTAAAAATGTGGTTAAATATTTTTCAGTTCTCATATCTGATCACTTTGCAGAAACAAAACTGAGAATCAGAACTCATTTGMATCTCAAACCCAGAGAGGATCATGTCAGTCAATATTTGAGTTATAACCACCCAGACCACTCTAAGCCCCTCCTGCTCTTCATGTTCTACAATCATTTGCTGCTGACCAAACAGACACACACTCACTCTTTCAATAAACTGTATTTACAAAAAAACACAACCCTCCATCTTCATCTTAGTTTTCTTAAAATCAGCTCTGAKGCCACAGAGGCTCAAAAATCATTTCACACTGATGAAAGTCAGAGTGCTGGATGTGCTGAGGGATGGCTGACTGAGCCCTCGCTACCTGCAAGTAATGAAATCTGTTACAGTATCTGAGGGGGGGGAGTAAAAAAAAATACTAAAAATAAATTCAACAGGATGCTGGCGTGCAGTTGCAACATCTTTACAGTCCAATGGCAGGTTGTGGACAAAAACAAACAGAAGAGAGCGGGAAATCAAGAAAAGAAAGAAAATGGAGGCCATGTRTTACAGAAAATAAATCATTTCACATCCAGACAAAAGATTTTTTTCTCCTTCTCCAAACAGAAAACAGCTCAAGGAAGCATGAATTTGAGCCCAGCCATTTGTTAGTAGGAGCTAAGTGGGGGCAGTTCTCTCATTTATTCCCCCAGGCGATAGCCTTGGCCCCAGTTGTGACGCTGTCCTCCTCCTGCGTTCTCCTGAGGAGCCGGCCTCCTCGGAGGARGAGCTCCAAAGCCTGATACTCCTCTCGTGTTAGGGAAGAATCGATACCTGCAGGAAGAAGAAGATGGTTAAATATCTACTCCTGAATAAAGGAACAAATCCATCTTTACAGAGAGAAAGTTCATTTAGTGTCAGGTTATAACAATGTAATAATGCCATTAGTTGGCACTTCTGTTTCATCTTTATAAACTAAAAACAAAAATCCCAGGAATAAATTTACAAACTGCTGATAGATTAATTTTATATTTTACAGAAAAAATAAAAAGCAATTACATCTTTAACAAATACTCATCTGGTTGCACCGGCAGTATATTTATTTTAAAAGAATAGATTGGTTTAAGAGTTGCACAAAGCTAAACGGCCTTAATTAGTGAACAGATCAATTCTGATAAGACTATTATTAATACTGATTCATGTAAACATGTCAACACAACGAGTTAAACAGAATGAGGCATGAGTTTTTAGATTTTGTGGTCTAAAAACATGATTTGATTTTTCTTTTCACGATCTTTTTTTCCATTAGAGAACAAAGCAGTACTCAGGATCTTCTGCAATATGTTTCATATATAAACAGTACTGGTAAAAGACCTGACCAGTACTGGTAAAAGACCTGACCAGTACTGGTAAAAGACCTGACGTGTTCACTCTTCAGTGGAACTAACTATAGGCTTCAAGCTGTGCAATTCAATTCATTTATATAGTGCCAAATCACAATAGTTGTCTCAGGGCAGGTTGTGTTGAGTCTTCGGTCTCCCACCCTGAGCAGCACATTGGTGACAGTGGAGAGAAAAAACTCCCTTTTAACAGGAAGAAATCTCCAGCAGAACCAGAACCAGAACCAGGCAATGCTAAACTAACAGGAAAGCTTTATGAATTTGTGTCTGCATGAAAAACACTGATTCTGACTGGAGCTAGTTTGAGTTTCTCCAAATGACGGTACTTTAAAGAACCACCTACACCAGGTGAGATTGTCAATGAGCTCAGCACCGAATCCCACATTAAAAAATCCAAACTATTCCTTTAAGGATATTGATGCAGTGGACAAAGTMCTGCTCATACTGGTTAAATACACTGCCTGGAAAAAAAAATTGCCACCAAAAAATGGTCACACTCTAGTATTTTGATGGACCACCTTTAGCTTTGATTACAACACACATTCTCTGTGGCATTRTTTGGATWAACTTCTGCAATGTCACAAGATTTRTTTCCAWCCAGKGTTGCATTAATTTTTCACCAAGATCTTGCATTGATGATGGTAGAGTCTGACCACTGCACAAAGCCTTCTCCAGCMCATCCCAAAGATTCTCACTGGACTCTGTGGAGCCAATCCATGTGTGAAAATGATGTCTCATGCTCCCTGAACCACTCTTTCACAATAAGACCCACATGAACCCTGGCATTAGCTATGTTTACATGCGCAAAATTCTTTGGTCGGATTGAAATGTATTCGGATTAAATAATCTGAATGTTTTGTTTACATGCGCAAAATTCTTTGGTCGGATTGAAATGTATTCGGATTAAATAATCT